AACGAGAATGTACACATTAGGATGTAAAACAAAAATGCACAATCTTTATTAGAACCTGAACACAAAAACAGTGGATGCTGCTATTGCGTGCGGTCTACCGAGACTTTTACACTTATAAACAAAGCATATAAAGATGTTGAATAATAGCAGTCTACGCTAATAGTATAAAAGTCCTGGTAGACTACGGATACTGCGGTAGACCGCACGCTATATTAGCACCAAACAGTGTGTGTTCGTGCTGTTACCTACACAGGAAGATCCCATTTACCAGGTTAGCAATTAACTTACTGTACTCCAAGTTCCAAATTTTACTGACTAAATTATGTTCCAGACTACTGACCAAATGAAATATTAGTCAATAATTTTCAGAAAGTCAATTCTAAAACCATGGGACAAGATTTAATCATTTATCATTAGTGAATTGGAACAGTGAGTTGAAGGATGATGTGGGACTGATTTAGGAATTTTTTTAAAATGAAATGACTTTAATTCAAGAAAGGAGTGTTCATAAAAAGATGTAAAAGATAAAATGAAGAAGAAAAGATCAAATTGGACTGGTTTCTTAAAGACAAAAAGGAGAAACTAGGAATTAAATGTCTTAAGTTTAAGAAGTTTAATTAAATTGTAGGTTTGAAGAGTTAGCAAATATAGCAAGACAAAATTTAGTTTAAAAATTATGAAATACAAAAAGGCTTGTGATATAGAACAGTAGGTTGATAACTTTCAAACTAACAGTAGAGATACTTTTAACTATTGTTATAAGCTATATTTTTCATGCAGAAATTTGTTTGTTACATACAGTGATGTGCGAGCATAATGATGACGTTAAATTAAAAAGTTTTAAAGACTCGACGTCCAGTTTTTCTAGCACATTCGAATGTTATATATAAATACGAGATAGTTGTTAAAATTGTCCAGTTGTTTTCAAGCCAGGAGCTGTTTCTAGTCGAAAGAGTATATTGTTACGTCTCTGGTCGTTAGTTAACTTCCCGTATAATTTCTTTCGGATGAAACTTTAGCGACACAAGTCCTTTCTTAAATAAAACTGGTTTATTCTTTCTGAATAC